GAGCACTCTACTCCTAGATAAGGGTATCGGCCTAGATACTAATAGCCTTAGATAGCTTAACTATTTATAATATCTTAAATATACCCCTAAGTAAGGTCTAATATAGATATTTTATTACTTTAAAAATACTTTAGAGCTCTAAAAAAAAAGAGTATAAAATATAAGACTTATAATATAATTAATCCTCTCTCTCTTAATACTATTACTTCTTAGGGTTAGATATATCTATCTAATACCTAATTATATAAGCTATAATCTACTTACTCCTTAGTATATTAAATCTTAACCCCTAGTAATATCTATATTAGTAAAATCTATACTATAATTACTACTATAGAGGATTCCCTATTATTAGTTTAATATAAAATATTACTTTTAATAAATTTATATTATACTATACCTTGTAATTAAATATAAGGCTATATTTAGTAGCCTTAATAAGCTAAATATATTATTTAAGTATATTAATTTATATTTAATATATTTACTTTCTTTTATTAGTACTTTAAATAGGATTCGTATCTTTAGTAGTATAACTAAATCCAGTATTAAATAGATAGGAGGCAGTGAGCGCACGGGCCGTCCAGTGATAGGTGAGTGCCACTAACGAAACCAACATCCATTTACTAACTTTACGTGAGCTTGGGCCACCCAATGCGAGAGCTCCCATGTGTGGGGCTAAGTACAGCTGTCCTGAACTGTTGTAACAGACCGTACCATCCCACCTTCATAGGCAGGGCTACAACGCTTCTCGGTCACTCCGTGCTCAGTTCAATACGAAGTCGCAGTTCAACTGCATGCTGCCGCAGGACATCCTCCTCTACTTCGAGCCTTTCCTCTGGGCATCAACGATAATCCACTACGAGACGAGAGGTTGACAACCTACCCATCAAGTCAACTACGGAATTTCCAAGTGCACCTTTCTGGACGTTCACCATGGATTACGACACACTCAAAGAACAATGGAGTGAGGTAGAAGACCGCGATGGGGTGAGGCTTAGCTGGAACGTCCTCCCAAGCACACGCATGGTTAGTGTCCCATGTGTGACGACGTCCGCCAGTGATATGGACTCTAAGAAGCGCGATAGGAGGCATCTAGACTCGTGGTACCCATCGGAGCTCTCTATACACCACTCAAGGAGAAACCTGAGACGCCTTTGCTGCATTTTGAGCCTGTCACTTGCAAGCAACCTTGCCGCTCCGTTTTGAACCCGTTCTGGTAGGTTTTCGGCCCATTCCCAGAAGACCACAATGGCTGAAGTGTCGTCCTTAGCTCTGTCGATGTTCGAGCCCGGCTATGGATCTGCCCGTTCTGCTTGTCGCGCAACCCTCTCCCACCTCACTATAAGGACATTACACAGAACGCGATACCTCCCGAGCTCCATCCCTCGAACACCACGATCGAGTACAGGCTCTCACGCCCTGCCCCGAGCCCTCCGATTTTTCTCTATGTTGTTGACACATGTCAAGAAGACGACAGTCTCTCTGCCCTGAAGGAGTCACTTGTTATGAGCCTAGCAGAGCTGCCTCAAAATGCGCTGGTTGGCTTGATTACCTATGGCACTATGGTAGGTAGTGAATCGCTGCATTCAACACGCATGGCAATAAGGTACTATACTGACGTGTATGCAGGCCCAAGTCCACGAGATCGGCTACAACGAATGTGCCAAATCGTATGTTTTTCGAGGGAGCAAAGATTATACAGCAAAACAAGTCCAGGAGATGCTCGGTTTGCTTTCGCCTGCGCCCAGACCCGGCATGCCACAGCAGCCTGGCCGCCCAACTCCTAGCGGGCCTGCCTCCAGGTTTCTGCTACCTGTCTCGCAGTGCGAGTTTCAACTCACGAAAGCCCTCGAGCAGCTACAGAAGGACCCTTGGCCGGTTGCTAATGACCGTCGGAGCCTGAGGTGCAGTGGAGTAGCGCTCAGCGTGGCTGTAGGGCTTCTCGAGTCATCTTTTCAAAATGCTGGCGGTCGCATCATGCTATTCGCTGGCGGCCCAGCGACAGAGGGACCCGGCATGGTAGTTGGACCCGAACTGAGGGAGCCCATTCGATCTCATCACGACATCGATCGAGACAACATCAAGTACTACAAAAAGGCGCTCAAGGTGTGTACCTGTGGTTTTGACATTCATGCTATCGTTGCTGCAACAAGCCCTGACTCCTAAGTAGTTCTACGATACACTAGCGAAGCGGACCGCACACAACGGCCATATCATTGACATATTTGCCGGATGTCTGGATCAGGTCGGCTTGCTCGAGATGAAAGGTCTTTGCAATTCTACGGGCGGCCACATGATTCTCACCGACAGCTTTACTTCGTCCATGTTCAAGCAGTCCTTCAACCGGGTGTTCGAAAAAGACGGCGACGATAACCTGGTCATGGGCTTCAACGGCGTCCTAGAGGTTCTCACCACCAAGGAACTCAAGGTCACTGGCCTGATCGGCCATGCAGTATCACTGAACAAGAAGTCGACATCTGTCGGTGAGACTGAGTGTGGTATTGGTAACACGTGCTCCTGGAAAATGTGCGGAATTGATCCCAGTGCGAGCTATGGTGTCTATTTCGAGATCGCAAGCCAGGGGGGACCAACGCAACACCAGCAAGCGCCGCAGAAGGCCATGATTCAGTTCCTCACCTACTACCAGCATTCATCCGGTCAGTTCCATCTTCGAGTAACGACCATCGCTCGGAACCTCAGTGGCCCCGCTGGAGACCCAGCAATCGCGCAGTCTTTTGACCAAGAAGCTGCGGCGGTTCTCATGTCGCGAATTGCCGTATTCAAATCCGAAGTTGACGATGGCCCGGATGTACTTCGGTGGGTCGACAGAATGCTCATCAGGCTTTGTTCACGCTTTGCCGATTATCGCAAGGACGACCCTTCTTCATTCCGCCTGGAAAAGAACTTCACGCTATACCCTCAGTTCATGTTCCATCTGAGAAGGAGTCAATTTCTGCAGGTCTTCAACAACTCTCCTGACGAGACCGCATTTTACCGCCACGTCCTCAACCACGAGGATGTCAGCAACTCACTGGTCATGATTCAGCCTACTCTGGACTCTTACACCTTTGACCAAGAAGGGGGGCAGCCTGTGCTTCTAGACTCAACATCCATCCAGGCAACTCACATCCTTTTGCTGGACACCTTCTTCCACATCCTCATTTTCCACGGCGAGACAGTCGCCGAATGGCGTAAGGCGGGCTATCAGGATCAGGAAGGTTATGAGAACTTTGCGGGGCTACTGGAGCAGCCAAAAGAGGACGCTAGGGTAAGTTTGCAGACGCACGGAATCCGGGCGCGCACTAGTTCATGGCACTGACAAACAGCAGGATCTTATCCAGGACAGATTCCCATTGCCGCGCTTCATCGTTTGTGACGCTGGCGGCTCCCAGGCGCGATTCCTGCTGTCCAAGCTCAACCCTTCGACAACACATACGTCTGGAGCCTACGGTGGTGTTGGTGCCCAAACTGCTCAAACCATTTTCACCGACGATGTTTCTCTGCAAACATTCATGGATCACCTAATGAAGTAAGTCCCACCATACTTGATTGACCTCCGACTTTTCCTGACAAGTATCGTTCCAGACTTGCTGTCAGCGGCACTAATTAGCTTCGGGCTGTGGGTGGTCAGGCGGAGGTGAATGTGTATCTGAGGAGCATGCAGTAAAGATGATAAATCGAGACACCCAGTTTTATATTGTAATGTCGGGTAAATGTTGTCCGTGATGACATTGACCAGTGAATGATGCGGCTTTGAAGACTCTCATTTATCTAGATAGGTTATATGTAGCATGCAGAACGCACTCATCAAGAAGCGCAAGTTATCTTAGTAGCACCGTAATCGCGGCAACATGGGCATGGGCTATTGAAGGTGCAACTACGAGCCGCACGTGATCAGGCCGTTTCCCCCACTGGCAACAGCCCCCTGTCAATGTGCCAGGCGAGCCCCGCAAATTCCTAGGGTTTCCACGCACCAACTAGTCACCGAACAGAAAGAGGGCAGATCTCAGTCATTATTTTTTCCCTTACGATCCGCTCGGGCTTTCCTTCATTATCCTTCCTCCATCACCCCAGACCAGGTCGACAGTAGCCATCATGCGTAAGTTCTCCCCATTATTGGACCAGCAATGTCACAAGGTTCTTGTTCAGCAGCTGACGAAGGGCTCGTTTAGCTCCCAAGATCGACCCCAACGAGATCAAGATCATGTTAGTACCCGCGACAGTCGCAAATGACCCAGCACAACTCCTAACATTGGCATTAATACAGCCACCTCCGGGCCACTGGTGGTGAGGTCGGCGCTTCATCCGCTCTGGCTCCCAAGATCGGTCCTCTTGGCCTCTCGCCCAAGAAGGTCGGAGAAGATATCGCCAAGGCTACTGGCGACTGGGTACGTTGAATTATCTTCCAGAGCAGTCGTGTTGCTGCAGGATAGCCGCTGATCCATTGTACTACAGAAGGGCCTCCGCGTGACGGTCAAGCTCACTATTCAGAATCGTCAGGCCGCTGTCTCTGTCGTGCCCACCGCCTCTTCCCTGATCATCCGCGCCCTGAAGGAGCCTCCCCGCGATCGCAAGAAGGAGAAGAACATTAAGCACTCCAAGTCTGTCCCTTTCGACGAGATTGTCGAGATCGCCCGCACCATGCGCCACAAGTCTTTCTCCAAGTCTCTCGAGGGTACCGTTAAGGAGGTCCTGGGCACTGCCTTCAGTGTAGGATGCCAGGTTGATGGCAAGAGCCCTAGGGCAATCACCGATGCCATTGAGGCTGGTGAGCTCGATGGTAAGTCGCACTTCCAGCACAACGAGCCAACCGGTGGACGACCAGCGAACTAACATACTTACACAGTGCCCGAGGAGTAAGAGTACCTCTTTGGCCAACGATGAATTTCGCACGACTTTGGAGTTAAGGGGAATGGTTCGAACTGGTTCCAAAGAGTCCTTCGGCGGACTCATATCTTCTCAATAAAATTCCCGACCCATCATGACCGGGTGCCCATGAGCTACCACGTTCTGAAACAACATGCAAACCGATCGACTGCGCCCCCTTGGCTAATCGACGCCTTGTGGGCACGTCATCTGGGTAAGAATGAATCTTTGTGCAATACTGGAATGTGTTTCCAGCCTGCGCTCGATTCTGCGAAAAGGAGGCATTGCTCACCCGCACTGAAGTAGCATCACGGACTGTTGCTACCCCTTCTTCCAAGATCTGCAGCTCAACGGTGTAGATGCAGTCTGATGGCAACTTTTTGCAACACCTAGAACTTTTGATGTGAATCTGGCTCATGATGCCGCAGAAGCATGGTAAGATGTTCATCGAATAACCTTCGCATCGCGCATCTAGACCTGAATAGTCAGCGTCCTCCGCCGCTCGCTTGTCCCAATAGACATCCACGCACTGTTCGTGACCTACCATGCGTGAAGACTTGGAGGCTTTGATTGTTCCACCCCTCGTGGTGAGTTGCCGAAAGTGTTCGCAAGCGATGCTTGCCAGGCATTATCATCATATGGCTTTACGCTCCTACTGTTCCTGCCGATACCGAACGTTGAGGAACGAACTCTGACGCCTGGTTTGTCAACTACAGCATGTAAAACCCATTCATGGTGATACTGCCAGGTTGCGCCCTGACCAGTGTTATCTACTGTAATCGACCTCACATCACAATAGCTTGTGTAGATGACCCCATAAATGAATACGAATCGTGCCGTGCGCCATCGACCCTGACCTACGTGCCATGCAGCCGAAGTCTGAAGGTTGCTGACTTAAGTACGAAGCTGAGCGAAAGGCTTGGCCCCACCCCGTGGCCAACAGCAATAGCGTGATTAGGTAGCTATAGCACCTGCATGTTGATATCACATAGGGGAGGCGGCGTCTTGTCACTGTAGTATACCTGCCACCACTGATTACCTACGACCCCCCTCCTGAAAACGCCGGATGCTTCCTTGATAGATACTAATCGCTCTACCGCACAACAAAGATCATCACCGCCACATATGAGGTCGAAGCTTAGCATCAAGCCAAATCGCGGAAGATTCAACGTCACTGTGTCATCGTACATTTTTTTGGCACGCAGTTGTCTTGGCGCTGGCATTGCCGCCGCCGACATGATCCTCTAGATGCAGTCAGCGGCCGTTTCAGCCATGCTTTGATTGATCATCAGGCAATGACAGAACGAACGCTCGAAGTCGGGAACACGACATTGCTGGTCGCGCCCATCTCTTCCTTCTCGATTCGACTCCCTCATTCCGATGTCCACCCAAAATCTATACCTGCAAAGCCTGCCGTCACAACCCATGTTGCCTCTGGTTCAGGTGCACCATAAGGTGCATCCACAATCAAACCACCAAGCAGTCCCCTCGCATTACAACCGCCACAGTCCGAGCAGCCCCTCGGGCGACCAGCTTCCACAGTCATCAAGAGACCCCGTATCTTTTCGGTCTCCGAAAGAACTCGCAAGAGCCATTCCCATTCGGAATCTGCAGCCCGGCCATCCTATCTACCATCGCACAGCAAGACTCTCGCTCCCATCCTATGTCGCTGATCACAATGAATACCAGCTAAGACGCAAGACTCCAAACGGGACCTTGCATGCCGGCTACGATGGCTCTCCAACGCAGCTTGCCCAAGGCCCTCCGCCGTTGAAGCACATGATACTATCAGCTCCGCCGGCTGCTTCAGCAACCTCCCGGCCGCAAATGGTTCACAATGTATACTCCGCTTATCCGTCAAACCTGCGCGCGAATGGGTTTACTTCACAAGTGTGCGACAGTCACACTTTCGATGCCGTACATACGGCTTCTATCACACAATGCCCACGATCTTCTCTGCACGATTTCCAACAACAGAGGCGCTACTCGGCCGATCCTAGCACTCCGCGCTTTCACGGAGCCACATATGATATCAGTAATGAACCGGAACGATGGTCAACTTGGTATAGTGCCCAGCCACAACCTCCGTACGGCAACTTGACCGCCAGAGCTGGCTGTCTGGATGCGCCCCATGCCTTCGATCATATAGACAGCCGTCCAGATCGCAGCGAACTCCGAGACTTTGGATCTATGCCGCCTCGCAATCATCTTAAATACCCACCCTCCGTGTTACAGACGTCATATCCTGCTGTGGAGTCTCTTGCTATAGGATCCAATTCTTTCCAGCCTGATATGTCCACGGCCTCTCATTTCAGAGAGAAGACACTAACTCAGGCATATCGTGCTTACATGGATTTACTCACGCAACTTCATCATATGCGGAAGGCTGGCCCTTCGTCCCTGAGCTCTAGCGCGCTGTCAAAATTGCTTGTCTATCCAAAGCCATCGAAACCAACGCCTTCGGACCCCAACATAGCTCTAGGGGGGCCAGCCCACGACACCGAGCTATCGTTCACGAACACGAGAACGAGGGTGACGCCATTTCCACCTGCGGACATGTATTTTGTCGGTACACCTCCAGTTGAGTGGGATGCTGGTCCTAAGCATGCCCCTGTCGTTCCAGCAGCCATAATGCCATGCCATGCTTTGCCTATGGAGATACACAAGGGCTCGCCATCGTCAAGCGCGAAAGCTTCATTAGAGACTCTGACACACCTCTGTGAACAAAGCAGTTGGAAATGGACAGACGGGATGATGCTTGGAGGGTGTCTACTTTATGGGCTTGATCGCTTCGAAGACGCCTCGGACTGGTTCAGTCGAATCATTGAGCTTAACGCCAAGTATGTACATCGCTACTGAAAGACTGCATTCGCAAGGCGCTAACCTTTCGGCAGCAATGTAGAGGCTATGTCGAACAAGGCAGCGACGCTTTTCTGCCTGAACCGACAGGAAGAAGCTGAAAAGCTTTGGCTCCAAGCTATCAGAATACGCCCGCAGTTTATAGAGGCTGCTGAACACCTCGTTGGCTTGCTTTACAAGAAGCGAGGTCGGGAAGCTGTCAGGATCATCGACTTCATCCAGCGGTCGTTGAAGCTGCCGGGCGTCACAAGTCATTCAAGAGAACTCGATTCGAAATTGGCAAGAAACTCTGAATCCAGCGACAGCCAGACCCGAACACCTTCCCTCCCGTTGTCTGAGAATGCAGACGGAAAGTCGTCAGGGTTTGGATCCAGCGGTTATGCCATACCAGCATCCGAAAACGGCCGGATGCTTGCCCTCGTGCACGCCAAGGGTACTATGCTGTATAGTCTCAAAGAAGTTGACAGGGCATCGCGATCCTTCGAGGAAGCAGTCTTAATTAGTGCTGGGCGGCAATTTGCATGCGTCCGGGACCTAGTGTTTAGGGTCCAGTCAGTCCTCTCCCCTAGGCAATGGGTGTCAGCAACACAAGGCATCCCAAACACGGACACTTTGCCTCCTCTTCTTTTACCGCCCGAGAGGGCACGGAATACTGCCGGTCTTGTTTTCCCCGGGCGCGGCAAGTTGCCAGGCCTTGTTTGTGTACCGAATGGAGGTCCAAGGCGGGCAGCCATACAAACAACAAGCAACTCACTGTTGTCGCTTGCCAAGATCTACCAGGACACCATGTCAAGCGCAGCGGGTAGTTCGGTGCTTAACCAGCGTCCCTCCGGCATTAACGACATCCTCGCACTCTACTATTTGTCTCTTTCTTTGCAAGAAAGCCCTTCAACGGCAAACAATGTCGGCATCCTTCTTGCCAGTGTGCAACAAGCCCCCAGCACGACCTCGCAATTCATGGTATCGAACAGACTGCAGGCGTCGGGCATACCCGGTATCTTGCCGGGGAGTGGCCTCGCCCTTGCCCTGTCTTACTACAATTATGGTCTGTCGTTAGATCCAAAACATGTTCATCTCCACACCAATCTTGGAAGTCTGCTTAAGGATATTGGCCAGTTGGATCTGGCCATCCAGATGTACGAACAAGCTGTCTCGTGCGATGGTACATTTGACATCGCCCTGACAAACTTGGCCAATGCCGTTAAGGATCGAGGCCGCACTAGCGATGCCATCGCATACTACAAGCGGGCAGTACTTTCTAATCCCGACTTCGCAGAAGCTGTGTGTGGATTATTCACGGCACTGAATTCGGTTTGTGACTGGAGAGGACGGGGAGGCTTGGTATTGCCCGAAAATGAATACGATCGATGGCATGTTGACGATGACGGTATGCTCGTGGATGCTGCGGTCCAGCGTCAAGCGACTGGCCTAACAAAGAAAGTGGTCGACATTGTGCGAAAGCAACTCGAGGAGGCATCGGCCTGGGGTATCGGTGCGCTTCCAGAAGGAGATCTTACAATCTTCGTTTCACAGTTGCAGCATGCGCGAGCCTTTGCTGCAGACGACGCATTCGAAATTACATCTGGTCTTCGAACATGGTCTCGGAAACATTGGGAAGGCTCGCGCATTCTGCGCTTTGTCGAGCGGTCTACAAAAGCGGTCATGCGACGGTGGTATTGCGACACATATATCCTCGATCTGACAACCAGATCAACTTACAACCGGCCGCTGTTGCCGCCTGCTCTCACGGTTCCGTCCGCACCGACCGTTCTCCCATTTCACACATTTACATGTCCCTTAACCGCCCAGGATGTACGCATGATATCGCAACGCAATGCGTTGAGAATCTCATGCTCGACCTTACGGGCGCCCTGGCTGCCACGCTCTGTCTATCGACCCCCTCCTCCACCATCGCCTCAACTCAATGTTGGTTATGTTTCGTCCGACTTCAATAACCATCCCCTTGCTCACCTGTAAGTGTCTCGCCCGCAATGTTGTCATTTACCAAGTATTTACATCTTTCTGACCAAATATTTCGCTAGCATGCAATCTGTGTTTGGCTTCCACGAAACAAACAAAGTCAAAGCCTTCTGTTACGCAACTACTGCAAGTGATGGCTCCGTCCACCGTCTACAAATTGAGCGCGAGGCACCTATTTTCCGAGATGCAAGCAGCTGGCCTTCGGATCGCATCGTTCAACAGATTGTGGCAGATGAAATCCACATACTCGTTAATCTGAACGGGTACACTAGAGGTGCTCGGAACGAGATATTCGCCGCGAGGCCAGCTCCTATCCAGATGTCTTTCATGGGCTTCGCTGGAACATTGGGCGCAGAGTGGTGTGATTACATCCTAGCAGACACAACCGCGATCCCGCCCAGCACCCTCCGCCCATGGAGGGGAAATCTTCATGTTCCAGATGTATTTCAAGATCAGACCGAAGAAGTGACTGGCGACTGGATTTACTCTGAAAACGTCATATTTTGTCGGGACACATTTTTCTGCTGCGACCACGCTCAATCTTGCAGTCCGGAAGAGCGTCAGTTGTCATGGGAAGCTGAACAACGCCGTCGATGGCAAATGCGCAAGGAACTTTTCCCCGGGTTTTCAGACGACACTGTCATCCTGGGCAATTTCAATCAGCTTTACAAGGTGCGAGCACCGAAAGACGCTACGTTCAAAAGGAAAACACTGACAACGGCGACAGATTGATCCAAGCACTTTCCGCTCTTGGCTACGCATCCTTTCTCGTGTGCCCAAAGCGGTGCTCTGGTTGCTCCGCTTCCCTGAACTTGGCGAGACAAATCTTAAGAGGACGGCAAAGGCATGGGCCGGGGCAGAAGTAGCCAGCCGCATCATCTTTACAGATGTTGCGCCCAAACATCTTCATATTTCTCGAGCAAGAGTATGCGACCTCTTTCTCGACACACCAGAGTGCAACGCCCACACAACTGCAGCCGATGTGTTATGGTCAAGCACCCCACTCTTGACATTTCCACGCTACTCATTCAAGATGTGCTCTCGGATGGCCGCCTCCATCCTAAAGGGAGCCCTACCCAAGGGTCCCGAAGGGCAACGCGCAGCTCAGGAGCTGATAGCATCGAGCGACGAAGAATATGAATCATTGGCGATACGGTTGGCCAGCAGTCTGGCGTACCATGGAGGTAAAGAGTATGGCGAAGGAGCGGGCCGCCTGGCTGAATTACGATACCTTCTGTGGAGGAGCAAATGGAGTTGTGCCCTTTTTGATACCCGAAGGTGGGTGGCCGACCTTGAATTGGCTTACCAGGAGGCGTGGCGAAGATGGGTCGCCGGTGAGGATGGCGATATCTATTTGTAGAGCTTCACCAACTGCGAACGACTTGGGCAATGGACGTTCATTTCTTGGACGTCGAGTATGATCTGCTCGAGTAGGCCATGGGCGACGGGACTGGGTACCATGTGCTCAAGGAAGCGTGCGTGCATTTGCTCTTTGTCGGGCTCGTGTCACGGTGATTTCATTTTCTCCTTTGTTTCCGTCGTCTTTTTGTATTTCTTCCACATGTATAATACCCCGGACCCTCTTTCCTCACGTTTGTGAGAGGTGAGATCCCAGCGATGCCGCAAATTTATAGTAACAGACTCGAGCTTCTCCTAAAGAATCTCTATGGTCATGACATTGGTAGCCGGCTTGACTGCAGTGATACCATTCTGGCCACATCGCACAGTTGTGGGTTCGAGACCAGTCCAAGACATGAGTCATGCGGCACGAGTCGACTTGGAGAGGACCAAGGGGGAGACACGAGGCAGGCGACGGGGTCTAGACTCGAGCTCGACCCAGGAGAATGGCACAGAACAACGGCTCGTACGAGAGCCAATGGCGCGTGCAGGCGGGACGACCGGCTCGACATACGCACGTTGACCGTCGCAGTGTGCCAGTCCAACACGGTCACAGTTCCTGGATGGCCCTCTTCCGGGATGCTCCATTATGGCGGCAAGTCGCTGCATTGGTGTGAGGGGTGGCCACGCTCAGCTGGCGCTTTGTCGCGTGGCGCGGCTGGAACTAGGGGCGGACCCAAGCAGCTGGGCCTGGGCTTCCTGTGTGGCAGTACGGTCTTTCATTCAGATCCCTTCCCCGTCAGGTTCGCGAAACTTCTCCGAGATGGGTCTAGTTGAGATTTGGATCGAGCCATTTGGACTTCCACTGCATGATATGATGCCTAGCAATGTAGGGTGTGGCGTAGTGCATAGTTGGAAAGCAAGTGGGGAGAGTTGGCCGGGGGGGGGGGGGGCTGTATTGGTGTGCTAACCTAGGTGGTTAAGGCCTAGCTGCACTAGCAGACGTTGCTTTTTCTGGTGGCGGTTGACGGGACCGAAGCGTAGAGTGGGTCCCGAACGTTCTCGGGCGCTCCAGTGACAGTGAATTGTCGCTGTGCGTCGGCTTGGCTGCTGCGAGAACCGTTGGCAATCCACACGTCCATCAGCCGTACTATGTGTTCGGTATGGCACAGAAGACAATGGTACCTCAATCTCAGCATTCATGCTGCCTCAACATCTCAGGCCAAGATGTCTTCTCTACGCAAACAGAAATACTGACGACTGTGGTGGATAGAGCGGATGGACCATAGTCAAAGGCAAACATGCGTAAGAGTTAAGGTAGGCCTGTGGGCCATCCATAGGGGCCGCCTCAATGCAATATGACTAGGGCTTGCACACAACGTTGAGCGCGTGGTATGGATGAACCTTAAGGCATCTTGTTGCACTGCATGCTAGGTCTGTAAGTCCCAGCTGGCTGGCTCGCGAAGCCTCCCGTCGGGCGATCAGCGCACGCGGGACAGGGGTTGCGAGCGGGGACCTTCCCTGCCATCGCGGCCTTCTATCTGAGATCACACCTCACCCAAGAGCCTTGGACACTCAAGGTTGTTTTGGGGCAGCTCGTCAGCTGAGGCCTGAACACAGCATTGGTGTGGTAGGGCAAGGGATGAAGTTTGGGGCGGCTGCCTTTCCCATTAAGATTACACTCTACTGAGAATGTATCATGTTGACAAGAATGCAATATTCGTGAGACAGCAGACAAGGTAAACGAGACGGATGAGATGGCCGCACTCATGTTGATGGGGAGCATCAGCCGCGGAGGGCAAAGCGACTGGACAAGAGTTAATTGTATGGTTTCAGCTGTCCGCCCGCAAAGTTGCCTTGTCATGCACTCAGCAAACCACTACCTAGTCGCACGAAAATGTGGGAGTGATGCCCCCTACCTCTGCCTGTCGCAGTTCCTGGTCCGCCCGGTACCAATCGCCTAGACTGGTGTGAAGTACGAATGCAGGAAATGGGGCCCTGGCCAGACCAAGGGGCCAAGCGCTGCGCTGAAAACGCTCGGTCCAGCAATAGTCGGTCGGGGGCCCCACCCGCATTCGTTGAGTTCATCGTTCACCAACTGTCCACGATCAACCGGTACCGTCCATCATCCCTCGTGTACCCCTGCCGCTCCCAGCTTGTCATCGGGCATCGCTCGGTTTATTCTGTATTGGGCACTAGGACCGAGAGAACGACATGTAGTGGGTTGTCGTCACTACGCTTTCGCATTTGTGTCGCGACGGGTGCGGTCCATCGCACTGTTGGCAGTACCAGCGGCTGACCCTCTCTCTAGATCGATCGAGGTGCATCCTTCCGAATATCAGCATGTTGCCAGCTGGGACACAGACAGGCCTGACGGCATCAATGCTGAAATATCGCCCAAGCTCGAGCACTCTATCGTTCTCAAGGCTTACTGCCCTTGCAACCCGCATTGCCAGATCACTCTGTCAAGCCCACATGACCGCTGCAACCGCCAGCTGTCTTGTGGGCGTTGCCGGGATTTTCAGCTTGTCAATGGCAGCGGCACCCCTGGCCTAGCAATGCTACAGCTCCAGCCCCTGCATCCTGGTGTCCCGAAGCGAATCGAACCAAGCCCACTGAGATGAATTGCCGATAGATACGACTGGAGCAGAAAGAGGGATGTGATCAAAGTCATCTAGCTCGACATGTCCGGTCGCCCGAATAGACAGGTCGGGGCGGATCGCGATTCTATGTCGCCTGAACCAACACTTTGCTTCTTCACTCGCAAGGTGGCCCCTGGTACGATTCCACGCGTGAAGATGCAAGCAAACCGGGGAGCGGGGCAGGATATGGCCTGTAACATGGGTCCCTGGCAGCGATCTGCAAGTAGCCCATCAGTAACTCGATCCTGGGAACGGAATGGCCGTTGCAGACGATCACTTGGCACGACGTAACACCCGTCAATTCACCTGTCCTGTCATTTGCTTGATGTGTCTTAACGGATTAGGACGAAGAGAGAAAAACACAGTCTGGTGGGCAGGCGTGCCGAGTCAGTGGCATTCCCACGCCATCCCAATTTGCATGCCGCACGGCAAGGCCCTGGTCACGGATGAATGAACAAACAGTCTGGAAGCCTGGACACACACAATTGAGACCTCAGCGCCATGCACCACGCAGCCCGCCCCCCCCCCCCCCGCGACTAGGGCTACCCCGGTCGCTATCTATGCCGCCAGCAGAACTTTCCTGCCTGGTGCGCTCTGTCTCGTCGCCCCCGGTCAAGTCTGGCATGGGCAGTCCTCGCGGCTCGAGCCTCGAGCCTCAATGCCGCAAGCCTCTCTCAGACCACTTATTCCGGGCTAGCACCACCTCGGACATGGTGCATGTAGCCCAATTCGGCGGTAGTAGAGATCTCTCTGATGGGGCCATCTCCATAGCGCCTGGCGTAGACGCACCCCCCCCCCTTTCTCCCCCACCTCTCTAGTTCCCCCCTTCCGGAACCGAGCCTCTGTTTCCATCAACAGCGCCACGGCCATGAATGGCTGGAAGCCCTTGGTCTCGATGCATGCTGCTCATCGGGAGTTGCGGACTCAATACACTGAGGGACTGTGTAGGTTTACAAAAACTCCCACCCTCCTTCTTCGCTCCTAGACGACTACCTCGCCACGCCTCCGCCTGAATTAAGATAAGCACCACATATGAACAGACGATATCACTGAGCAGTCTATCTATTGTTTTTTCTTTGCAACTCGACGCCGGCGATACTTCTTGGCCTACCTTAACCCGGTTCTCTCGACCACTCAGTAAATCCAGTCACAACATTTGACTCGATCAATCCTTGACTGACTGCTTCATCTCCTGGCGCTGTGTCCGGATCCAACCCCAACAAGGTCACTCCGAAGTTGTTCTCCTCCAACATTGCGACCTCCACTTCATCCCGCTGCCCTGCAGACTCGAACCCAATTGCGTAAACGACTCCTCTTGGAGCAAGTCAAAGAGCTACTTAGTCCAGCCCTACAGGATCATTATCACAATTCGGACATAGAGTTGAACGGGTCTGCCATTCGCATCCCATCATACGAATAATCTGTCAGCTTGTCAGGTTACACGATCACTTCGCTATACTCGACTTCACGGATCTTGATCACTCATCCTCGAGAACCGCATTCGTGTATAACTATGGCGCAAAGGAGGGGTCCATGGTCCCAACACGAGGATGCATGTCTGATGCAGCTCGTTAGCGAGCAGGGTCCTCTTAACTGGGTTCGAATTGCACAAACCCTAGGCACCAGGACACCCAAGCAGTGCAGAGAACGCTTTCACCAGAACTTGAAGCCAACCCTCAACCACGAGCCCATTACAGCCGAGGAGGGCGTACAGATTGAAATTCTTGTCAATGAGCTCGGCAAACGGTGGGCAGAAATCGCTCGAAGACTTTCCGGAAGAAGCGACAATGCAGTGAAGAACTGGTGGAATGGGAATCAAAATCGTCGGAGACGCCATGACCGCAGAAGAAGCACACACCCTCCTCGACCCAGCTATGAAGACGGCCGATACTCTTCACCAAGGCCCTACCAACATCGCCCCTCTCTCACGCTTCACCCAGGGCCTAATTCAATGCAACATCCTCCTACTACTCAATATCTATCTTCGCCAACATCACCTGCCCACAGCTCTGGGAACTACTCACGCCATCAGCATGGCTCATCTCTTCCTTCACCAAGCTCGACAGCCTCGCCGAGGAGCGACGCACTCGATGCTGACAACACTGCACTGTCAGATTCGGGATCAAGCTACACGACATCACCTCGCGAACACTACACACGCGTCTCCCCACCCGTACAACTACCACCTCTCCGAATTGCCGTTACTTATGACTCGCTGCCCCGCTCCCTGCCGGGTGTTGGTTCACTCCTTCACACAGCCGGGGAGAGAAGAGATGTCACCATTGCAGGCACATACCTGCCAGCGCATTCTTCTCATTTGCCTACTGCACCATGTTCCCCAACAGAGGATCACCGTTCGTCCAGAAGATTCTTTGGCACGGCCGAAGACAGGGACGCACGGATGACTGTAGATCAGCTTGTCAACCGTTGAGTTCTGTTGACGCTAGTCGATCAGTGGCTTTGCTTTGGGTACGTGTTGAATATGCGAGAGTTTGTTCGTGGTTGCAGGCGGCACGCAATTTTTTTTTTCAAGGATACCCCTTTCGTGGCATTAATGGCCAGTTCACGCGACTGCTCACCGGGGAGCAAGGTTAATTCGCATGGAATGTAAAGGTAGACGGCAGTTC